ATATACAATATAAATAATATATAATATATATAGTATATATATAGTATATATATAATATAGACTATATTATATTATATATATAATATTATATATAATATAATATATAATATAATGTATAACAATACGATACAGGGCAAGAGCTGGCTAAGCGGGTGGAGTTATTACAAAACGACAAATTGCTGCTTGCGAGGGCTGTGAAGGCGCAACACGAGAAGCTGCAGGTGTGTGGACCACTGGTCACTTGCTTTCTAGTATAGTAGACAGGTGACCACTGGTCACCTAAGAGATGCATGAAGCCAACCACCAGAGTTTAGATGAAAGCAACATGCAAACCACACGCAGTTGACCAGTGGTCACATGGGGGGGCAACGTTGACGTGACCAGTGGTCAGCGTAGTGGCTGCTGGTGGCTGGGTGCATAGAGTGGTGACCAGTGGTCATGGGGGGGTTCAGTGGGGTGACCAGTGGTGCACAGAAACACAAGCAAATGAGTACACAAACAAACAAAACAAAAACTGTAAATTAGATTGCATTTTGGAGTTTCTTAGATATTCCCCTACTGTATATACATATTCATATTTGTGTATCCCCTGCTGCTGCTGCTGCTGTTGCTGCTGCTGCTGTTGCTGCTGCTGCTGTTGCTGCTGTTGCTGCTGCTTGTGCTGCTTGTGCTGCTGCTGCTGTTGCTGCTGCTGTTGCTGCTGCTGCTGCTGCTGCTGCTGTTGCTGCAGACGCTGCAGCAGACTCTGGCAGCGAAGACAGAAGAGAGTCGTTATTTACTGGAGGAGTTGAACAGAGCTCACCAACGGCTCCGCGCTTTGCGCGATGCCGCCTCAGCTCTTCTTCTTGGTGCCAACACAAACAGAAATAACAGCCCATGCAGAGATAACACCTTCGATAGACGGTCAGATACACTGACACCGCGAGGTGTATAGGCAACTCCTGAGGTGTATAGGCACCTCCTGAGGTGTATAGGCAACTCCTGAGGTGTATAGGCACCTCCAGGTTTATAGATACGCTGAGGTGTATAGATACATTGAGGTGTATAGGCAGCTCCAGGTGTATAGATACATTGAGGTGTATAGACACTGTGAGGTGTATAGACACCTCGAGGTGTATAGGCAGGTAGTGACGGCCAGTTGAGGTGTATGCAGTGCATGCAATCTACACACTTATGTATATCCTACTTTTTTTTGTTTTCTATTTGTTTTAAGAGGCTTTTTTATTTTTATTTTTTTTCTGTTTATAGTTTTTTGCTTATATATGAAATGCAGAAACTGCGGTGTCTGTACACCAAAAGAAATTGGGTTTACGGCTTGACGGCCTGATCTGTTTGTCAACTTATTTATATTTTTATTTTTATTTTTATTTTTATTTTTATTTTTTTTTGCTTTTGCAGGTTCCCTGATGTCTGCTGAGATGGGGCGACAAGGAGCAGCAGCAGCAGCAGCAGCTGCTGCAGCAGCAGCTGCTGCTGCTGCTGCTGCTGCTCACTCAAGGAAGCCTTCGGAATTATTTAGGGTTTAGGGTTTATGATTTAGGGTTTAGGGTTTAGGG